GCTTCAAATTACTGTCTGCATATCTGTTCACAAACCTAGCAGGTGAGTGAGATGTTCACCCATTTCAGGACAAGGGAAGCGATAGTCTGACAACTCTCTTCAGGTGGGCAAGGCTGTCAATATTAACCTGAGCATTACTGAAATGCAAAAACTATTTTGAGAGACTTGCTATGAGAGAAATCCCAATCTGTCCTTAACCATCTGGCTTACAGTGATGTACTTAACCCTCCTTTAAAAGAGTGTTTTTTTCACCTACGTAGGGCAAGTGAATGCTCTACTTTTATGCCCTACTTAATTCCCTTAGGGCTCAAAAGGGTCTTGGCTGTCATGCTAGTTTTTGTGAACGGGTGAATTGGAGTTGATTTTTCTTCAGTATATGTTTAAGCCAAATTGTGTTTCAGGAACATTCCTCCCTCTCCTTCCCTAGCCCAGTCCCCAAAGCCCAGCACTGGAACATTGTGGGTAGATCACAATAATTTTGGATATTCTTGCAAGGAACTCAGGTGGATAACTACAACCAATTTCCTTTGAATAGAAGCATAGATACCAACCAAGAAGTGGAGCAGCACGAGTGCTGGTAAAAAAAAATACCTGGGGAGAAGCATGTAGTGGATAAAGAACCCAACCCCCCGAAGCAATGATTCCACACAAAAAGCAAGTTCTAATCAGGCAACAGCAGTTAAAGCAGCAGCTTTCAAATAAAGCATTACAAGATAAAAGGTTGTGTACTTTGCTATGAAGGCTGCCTGCTGCAGCAAGTTTAGGGCTAGATCAAAAGAACCTGGATGTGTGGTTCCCATTCTGGGGTGCCTAAAATTCACCAGGGTCTTAAGCCCCATGCTCCTCCAGCACTTAGGCTGCAGTCGTCAGCATTCACAAACCTAAACTGTCTCCGTAGCTGTGCCTACCCCAGCCTCTTCTCACAAAACACACGTGCTCTGATTGTACTCAGGAACCTTTTTATCTTGCTTTAATAGTCCATGAGTCTTTTTCTAATTCACAGATATTTGCAGAGAAATGTTAGGAGCTAACATGTTCCCAGGGCCTGTGCTTCAGTTTTTCAGGGAATAGAACCACCATGGTGTGGTGTGGCCATTGACTGAACCACCATGGGTGTGTGGCCATTGACTGGCCACACACCCCAAATACTAAGCAAGGTGCAAATGGTCTCTATTTAATCAGAAATCACAACTTGGAAAGGCAACTTTTAATAGAAGGAGAACCTGCTGTGTTCCTTTGTCCAAACTGGTCAAATCAGTCACTTCTAGTAGCTCACCTTGGATTATTTGGGAAAATCTTTCAAGATTTAATTTTTGATCATTAAAAACTGTCTAACCACTCTCCCTCTTTTGCAGTTTACACAGCTTTATAGAATGAAACTAGACTCTCTGTTTCTCCTCCTCAGAATAATGCTCTACTCTAATTTTTCCTAAATTGGGAAATTTTACTTCTATACAAATGTCCTTCTGGCTTTTTGTTGTCAAGATGATCCTTTCTGAAGAATTCTTGCATTTCACGTTCTGCCAGAGCCATTCAGTAGATATTAGAAAGAAATCTGATATATGCTGACATCAGACTTTTTGTGGTGTACTGAGAGAAAGATAGGAATGGAAGGACCTCATCAGTTATCACACTTTACACCCATTGCCCTGGGTCACTGGGTTGTGTGTGGTGTAGTAGGTTCTTCTTTCTAAACAATCACTAACTACATCCTTTATCCAGACCCTCATAGTACATACAAACTTACTTTTTCCGTGGTTCAATGGGTTCAGTTTCCATTGCACAAACTAGACAGAGCCCTGCAATCAAAAAAGGTAGATTCCTGGCAGTGGTTCTAAAATGAAACTCTCATTATGACACCTACATTCATTCCCAAATATTCTTCTCAGTAAACACTGAGAAAACGGTGTTAGGAAGGAACCATTCGTGAATTTAATTAATTGCATATTAGTTCAATTGTGCATTGCCAATCAACGCTACTAGAACATGCATGGATAAAAATCAGCCCTGTGTCTGATACATTTAATTATTAGAGTCATAATTAAACATTCCCCCTTCTCCCCATTTAAAGACATTTGGTAAGATTTTTTATCATTTAGTTTTTGTAACTTCTCCTTTGAAGTATAAAAGCTCACTTGTAATTTGTTACTTAAAACTGTTATACAACTCCTAGCAGTTAAGTGGCTACATGGAATCTAAGTTATGTCAGCTACATTTTACTTGGAAAAAATGAGCATATAATTTGTATGAGGAGACAGATGCTAGAGGCATGAAAAATGAAGTAGTACAGTAAAAATGCAAATAGAGAGGGAAAAGAAGTACTCTGTACTTTGACTGTAGAGAATGTCATGTTTTTTAATGTCACATTAAAAAACAATACATTTCAAATGATCAGAGGCATCCATTAAAATTTCATATCTACCTCTGTGTATCAACCACAAGGGGAAAAAAGTGTGTAGCTAGTAGGTAGGTCCCGTTAGGATCACAGCATATCAAAAACTTGCGAGAACATTCTGCATATACTATCAAAGAGTTAAGTTTGTATTGAAAATATTGATACATGAGGCCTGTGATACCTTGAAGGCTTGCCTATACCCATCATGTAGTTGGTCCAATAAAAGATTACTCACAAGAATTCTTGTCTTGATACATGGGCAACTTGACCAAACTTTCCTCCTTAACTTTATCACCTTATATACATTGAGATGAAGATTCCTCCAGTGATGCAGTTTTCCACTAAGCATGATGAACACTGAAATTGTTCATCAAAGTTATTGATAGCTAATATGAGAGACTTGCAAATCTTAACTGCTACATTGTAGATTCAGGGCAAGAGCTACCATCAGAAGTGGCACCTACAAACCTGTGCAAAGTTTTACTCTAGAGGTCGAGGATATTCTTTAGCAAGTGATTCTCTAAGGAGTTCCAAGAAGGGAATTTACATACAAACGCCCAGCACAAGACTGATTGAAATCAAACTAAATAGGCTTCCCTGTATCAATACTTATCACAAGATTAGTGAAGGAACCTATGAGACATTTATTAAATGGGAAGATAATTGAAGAGGGCAGTAAACAGACAAAAAAGAATACCTTTGCTGATGAATGAGCAGTTATACAGCCAAAAATATACAAGCCTCAGTTTCTAACTTGTTAGTGTATTACACCTAGTTTGCAGGAGTGGAAATGTTTACACAGGATACAGGACACTGAAAATCAGGGTTTATGCCTGGAATGGAGATAAGTCACTTAACACAATTAAAGGGTGTTTATATGGTACCAAAACAGCCAGACTGCTGTTTGCATACAGGAGTTGCTTCTCTGAAATCTGCTTTCAGGAGTTGAGGGATTCTATAGCTCTTCAACCTAGAGGGCCAAACAAAGCTGTATAAACCATGGCCATGCAACTTATGAGCAGCCAGGGGCTGCACAGGCTCCCCGAGAGCCTCACCGTGCATGGCTGGCATAGCCTCCCCACTGTATGGACAGCACAAGCCTTCCCTTCACAGCACTGTACAGGCAGCATGAACCTCTCTCTTGCCATCATATGGGCAACACATTCACCAGATTCCCCTCTCACCATGCTGCCTTGCCCCAAGGACCCCTGACCCTAGCACAGCAGGAGCACTAACCCCTCTCAAGCTAGCTGCAGCCTGGAGGCCATGAGTTGGACACCTCTGCTGTAAATTGCATTAAAAAAAAACCACTTGCTCCTCCTTTATCTCAAAGGAGATAAAGGGGAACTGGAAGAGAAACAGATGAAAGTTGTTTTTTTTAAGTGGCAAATGGAGGAGTGACTAGTAGTAATTTTCAGACTTACCTGGAGTTTCCAGGGCCCCCTGATCAGAAAGTAACTGAGTGAAGTATTTTGCATAACCCTGGTTTTCAGATCAAATTGATTTAGAAAGCATTTTCCTCCCAGACATGCCAAACATGTGAAGCAAGTTGAACAGCCTTAGTGATCAGTAGCAGCTAAATCATTAAATGTTTCCCGGTCTTTTTTTTTTTTTTAATTAGACACACACACGCACAAGAATGACAATGTACATGCCTGGGAAGATGAAGATGAAGAATGCACTGATGCCACCAATAATACTGATGACTTCACTAATGTCAGGGACAAACAAAGCAATGATGAGCGTGACTATGATCCATGTGCTAGTCAGCGTGATCCTCGTCCATCTCTCATAAGGCTCCATGATCACCATGTAGCTGCACTTGGAGTTCAGGCAGACATCCCGTAGGACAGACCTAATGCAGACAAAAGCCATCTTATTTATAACTCTGCTTCCCCCTCTTGACCAGACTCTGACTGCCTTGCTCCAAACCTAACAGCATACACAATCCGTTCTTTACAGTTACATACTTAAGATACTGACTCTTCTGTCTGCCAGTAAGTACATAATTTAGGCATAGACTATTGTGGGCTGGATTGTGCTATTTAGGCAATGCCAACAATAGAGGACAACACAGAGCTGAGCTGCACTGCCACAGGGAGATGCTCATGAAAAAAACATTCTGTCAACAGGTCCTCCACTACCCTCCCATGCTACACAGACCACAGAAGGAGAGCATCTACTTTCTGCAGTGGAACAGGCTCTCCCAGGGGCAGATGGGCTATGGCATTACCTCCTCCCTCTCCGTTTAATGGCCACATTTGCCCTTAAGAAAAGAAATTCTCACCCCTGCATGACAGCCAGAGACACCCCAGTATATATATTTCAGTAACATCTAGATGTTCCACCTGAGACCACGGTCCCAGGAGTTAGGCTCACCTTGGTTTAGATACAATAAGAAGATGCTATTGCTTTCTCATTCTCTACCTGCTTTCTCATTCTCTTCTCTGAACCTTTTGATATGTCACCTTGAGACATCCTCTTCCTGCTGCATCCTACAACAATGCTTTCCAACCCTTCTCAAAAGTTGTTGAACCAGGTCAGTTAGCACAAGTGTCACGTAACGTAGTGTAACATATCTCTGCCTAGCAGTCATTTCTGGGAAATCCTCCCTGTCTTACATGGGTTCAGTATTGTATGCATTATCACTTCTCTATTGTTTCTGTGGCATTTGCTAGCTTTCTTTCTTCAGAAGTCTGAAGGGGTGTTCATTGATAGACATTCAGTCAGACTCATCTAAATCTTAACCAAAGGTTAGGAACTTTTGTTGCCTCTCTCTCAGAAGCTATAGGGATAAAACTGGGGAGTGGGGGAGGGCAGGGATTTGGCCATTAGTAAGGCTTCTTCCCAAGCTAGGTGCGCTCCCTGAAATCTAAATCCCAGAGATACCATTCTGACATAGAGGGCATAAGCTTGTTCCTGGATATGTCTTTCATGCACTTCACTCACCATACACATACAGCTTCACTCTTCCCATTACCTTCCCAAGAGGACAACAATAGGGTAGATGGTAACGATGGAGACACCAAAGAGTAGGCGAGCAATGATGACAACCACATCATTTCCTGGGTAGGACATCAGAATATCAGCAGCAACATCACCACCAAATGTCAAGTAGCCATAAAGTCCTAGAAAATAGAAGCCAAAGAGCATAGCAAGGGGTTGACATATGACCCCCAAACATTTTGGTGAGGAGACTGAAGGAAGAAATAGCCACCAGGTGACTTGATATAAATTACAGTTCTTTATTATAGGCATAGCATGGATTAGTGCTAAGGCTGCCCAAGACCTCTTCTTACCATTTAGAGTGAAAACACTGCTGCTGCAGACCAGGCTGAAGCTGGGTGCTGGAACTGAGAACAGAGAGCAAGTTTCTTCTGGGACCAGTACTTTCCCTGCTCCACCCCTGCTCCCCACGATCACCTGATATCCAAGTAGCACAAAGGACAGAAGTGCCCAGTTCAAATGCAGAGGGGACAAGAGCCAGATGTGGATGTTGTGAAAAGCAGACAAGGATAAGGAACCTTGAGGGAGGAAGCCTGAGGCTGTTATTGGAAAGGGAATTGAAGGAAGACAGGAACAGAAATAGGGAGTGAGGGGGAAGGCCAAGAGAGATAATGAGGAGCCAGGAACTGGGGGTGGAGCTAAGACAGTGGGACAAGGCACTGGGGATATGGGGACAGAGGGTGAAGAGACCAGGGTGGGAGCATGAAATAATATGATAGGGAAGGGCTACCTGTAAGGGAATACATGAGCAAACAGATGATCATGGAGAGTACAGACACCACAATCCAGTGGGAGAGTTTCTTGTTGTACATGCTGCTGTAGATGGCTACACAGGCTTCATGGCACTGAAATACACAAGAGAATATAATCCCCTTGTAAGAAGGTAGAGTGAAGATGCAATGTTGTAGATCCTTCCTACCACATAGATGCAGGTTACTATGCTTACGTTTCATCTGCACTACCTTTCTTGCACTCAAACCTTCCCCTGTGGCTTCCCATTCCCTCTCCACAGCCACTCCATGCACACTTGCTCCAGTGAGTGGCATATCACCCAGTACATTTTTGGGGGTTCCTTCAATAGAGAAGGAGAAGGGAGAAGGAATCCACAGCATACATACAGGCTGGGGAGTTCCCTTCTTGAAAGCACAGAGACAGAAAGGGATCTTGGAGTCATTATTGACTCCAAGATGAACATGAGCTGCCAATGCCAGACCGCAGCCAGCAAGGCCAGCCATACCTTGTCATGCATCCAAAGGTGCATCTCAAGCCGGTCCAGAGAGGTGATACTCCCCCTCTAGGCAACTCTGGTCAGGCCGCAGTTGGAGTACTGTGTCCAGTACTGGGCACTGCACTTCAAAAGGGATGTGGCCAGCCTGGAGAGGGTTCAGAGGAGGGCCACCCGCTTGGTGAGAGGGCAGCAGGACAGGCCCTACGAGGAGAGACTGA